TCCGACCCTGAGCATCTGGGTGGGGCCAACTTGCCCAGGGGATGTGGGTGTGCCTACTCCCTGTCATCCGTCTGGCTTTCAGGCCTGTGGTTGAAGTGGGGTCACAGAATGGAAGCAGCCTGGGTCCTGGGAAGACCATGTGGAGCAGAGGCTGTCTGCTGACTCAAGTGGATTGGAGCATAAAGCACTGATATTTGAGCATTGTTTCTAAACAGCCTCCCTTGACTAATACCTCTGTGTTTCTCAGTTCAAAAAGAAGAGAGTGGGACTTCCCTGGTGGTTCATGGGCTAAGACTCCCAGCTTCCAATGTAGGAGGCCCAGGTTTGTTTCCTGATCAGGGAACTAGATCCCACATGCCGCCACTAAGAGTTCACATGCTGCATACTAGAGAACCCACATGCTGAAACTAAGACCCAGCGCAGACAAATAAATAATAAATATTAAAAAAAAAGAAGAAGAAGAAGAGAATGCAGCTAGTGGCTAAGAACCTGCCTTGTGATGCAAGGGACATGATTTCTATCCCTGGTAGGGGAACTAAGATCCCACATGCCGTGGAGCAACTAAACCCTTGAGGGACAACTACTGAGCCCATGCCTGGCAACGAAAATCCCTGGATGATGCAACAAAGATCCTGAAGATCCTGCGAGCCATAACTAAGACCCAGCACAGCCAAGAAAGTAAATAAAGATTTTTTTAATAAAAGGAGAGCTCCTCAGTCTGTGTAAGAGAGGCTCTTTCGGTGACCTAGGCGAGACCCAGCAGAAAGGCGGAAGGTTCAAAGGCCCCTTTCAGCACTCACGTTCTGAGGTTTCATTTCCCATCTTAATCTCCTATGGCCGGCACAGGGCTGTGCCCTGAGCAGAACGCTCGATTCCCGTTCCTGGGGTTGTTGCTCCTTCTCCTGGAACACTCGCCCTTCTTTCTCATCTTTCAGTCCTGCCTCCCTTCCAAAGCACAGCTCCAACACCACCTCCGTGATCACCCCACGGGGCAGGGAGTCCTCACTGCCTCTTTTCCTGTGTAACCCTCTGTGAAGCTGAGCAGAGCGCCCCCACCCCTCACTGAAGCACCAGTGATATTTTCATATGAGGATCTTCAGTCTCTCATTAAATCAAAAGGTTCTTATGAATAGCATCACCATCCCCACACTTCTGGTTTCCTACAAGGCCCTAGCACCATGTAGCTTGTACCAAGCACTTGGAAAATATCTGTTGGATGAATGAATGGAAGGAGAGGACAGATGAATGACCTCATAAACAAATGAATGAGCTACTCAGCCAGATCTCCAGGGGTCTCCACCCTCTGGGCTCACTCCATCTCTCTACTTCATTTCTACTCCCAGCCACAAACCCCACTCAGAATGGGCTGGTCTGTCCACAGACTCACCAGCCCGCTGGACCTTCCCCTCCCTTTACTCCGCACCTCCACCAATACCCCAGCCCCTTCCCACTCCTGTCCCCCTTCAGGGCCCAGAGGAAGTCCCACCTCCTCCAAAGGTTTCCGTGACAGCTCCACTTTCCGCAAATGGTTCAACTTTTTTACAGGATTGATCATCTGTACCACGTGGATTAACCCGCTGTATCATTGGGTATGTCCCACGTGGTTTGCGGTCAGTTCCTTTGTGTTTTTCTTGCTTCCTCAACTAGAATCTAGCTCCCAAGGGCCGAATCGTCCACAGCACTTAGCAAAGAGATCAGCAGGGCACAGCCGAGCAGGACAGGCATGCACTTGCAGATTGCTGGATACCCGGGGCTCCCGCACCCTTTTGCCCTTTTTCAGTAAACACAGATCGGAGAGCTAATACACGCATGTGCATCTCCTTCTCCTCTCTGTATCTTTCTGTTCTCCCTCTTCCCAGATTTGCAATACTTGGGTGGACTCATCCACCTGAGTTCTGAATCTGCAAAGCCTGGCACAAGTTTCAGACCACAGTTGCCCCTCTGAGTCCAGGAGTCTAGGAAGAACAACAGTCTAGAATGGTAGCCAACTTAGCCCCTTGCCACAAACTGCACTTTTGTTGGTGACATGTTCAGGAGGAGGAGGTAATCATTTGGGCTGGATCTCGGAAGAGTTGCAAAGGAGGAAGAAGGCTACTGTGAAGGGGACTGTGGGATAAAGAGGTAGCAGGGCATCACACTGGCAGGAAGACGGAGCCACCATGGAGACCAGCTGCAGCGTAGTTAGCCACGTGGGTGGCCAGCCCTAAAGGACTTAGATTCCAGGGACGTTCCTGGGGGTCCAGTGGTTAAGAATCTGTCTTGCAATGCAGGGGGCACAGGTTGGATCCCTGGTCGGGGAACTAAGATCTCACATGCCGAGGAGCAACTAAACCCACATGCCACAATTAGAGAGCCCATGTGATGCAACAGAAACCCTGGGTGCTGCGACTAAGACCCCATGCAGCAAATAAATACATAAATGTTGAAAAGGAAAAAAAGACTCAGATTCCAGCTGACATTCCCACCTCACCCTCAGGCAGCTCCCACAGCACCCAAGGCTGAGAATGGGAACAGGAATCAGAAGCTCAGCCAGGGAGTTTTGGACTTAGTTGATGCAGTACTAAGTTCTCAAGCAAGGAAGTGGCCCAGAAAAAGCAGTATTTTGGGCTCCCTTTCATCATTAGGAAATACTTTGTTTTCAGCTGACTTCTTTTTGCCACACAGCATTTGTTGTTCAGTCGCTCAGTTGTGTCTGACTCTTTGCGACCCCATGGACTGTAGCCTGGCTTCCCTCTCCTTCACTGTCTCCTGGAGTTTGCTCAAACTCCTGTCTACTGAGTGGGTGATACCATCCAGCCATCTCATCTTCTGTTGTCCCCTTCTCCTCCTGCCCACAGTCTTTCCCAGCATCAGGGTCTCTTCCAGTGAGTCAGCTCTTCGTATCAAATGGACAAAGTATTGGAGCTTCAGCTTCAGCATTAGTCTTCCAATGAATATTCAGGATTGATTTTCTTTAGGATTGACTGGTTTGATCTCCTTGCTGTCCAAGGGACTCTCAAGTCTTCTCCAACACCACAGTTTGAAAGCATCAATTCTCCGGTGCTCATCCTTCTTTATGGTCCAACTCTCACATCCATATATGACTACTGGAAAAACCATAACTTTGATTATATGGACTTTTTCAGGCAAAGTAATCTCTCTACTTTTTAATACGCCGTCTAGATTTGTCATAGCTTTTCTTCCAAGGAGCAAGCGTCTTTTAATTTAATGGCTGCAGTCCCCATCTACAGTGATTTTGGAGCCCAAGAAAATAAAATCTGTCACTGTGGTTTGACAATTTTCTCACCAAGGATGCAGGGCATGAACCTCAGTCACAACCTTACAGAGGCCAAAGATAATCAGGCAAGTTACCTTGCTTGGAAATTCATACAGTGTAAACTAAAATGTAAAGAAGTTTTTTTTTATCCAGGTATTCTTTCTTTCTGCTGGTGTGGATTTTTTTTTTCTTTGCAGGAGGGGCAGAGAGGCTGTGTGGATTTTTGAAAGTTGATTAGCTCTGAGAATACAAAAATTGTTTCCTTTTGCATTGTGTAAGGTTCACTTGAAGAGACCACTCACTTCTCAGGTCTGGGCCCTGACTTGTGATACACGCACATCACTTTATCAGCTACCATCTCTCACCCAGGTTCCCTGAAAGACTGCAGGAAGTCGCTGAACTGTTCTTGCGGTGGTATAGTCACCCATAAATTGGAAATACCATACAGTGTGATGATCAGAAACAAACAGAAAGGGTAATGAAAGTGAAAAGTGAAAGTCGCTCAGTCGTGTCCGATTCTTTGCGACTCCATGAACTATAGTCCATGGAATTCTCCAGGCCAGAACACTGTAGTGGGTAGCTGTTCCCTTCTCCAGGGGACCTTCCCAACGCAGGGACTGAACCCAGGTCTCCCGCATTGCAGGAGGAAATCAGTGAACTGTTCTTGTGGTGGTATACTCTAGTCACTCATAAATTGAAAATGCCATACAGTATGATGATCAGAATCAACAAACAGAAGGAGTAATAAGGCACACCAAATAATCACTGGTGACCTCAGCAATTTTATTAACAAATTTATTTCCCTAATTGGGTAGCATATCTCGGTGCTTGACTCGAGGGCATTGTAATAGGTTTCTACACTGCAGGAGAAGGAATTAATTAGAACCGTTTGCTCTCGGTTCTGTAGTTATACTGTCCACCGGTCTTGTAAACATTGAACCTGGTTTCCTGGGTCCTCCAGGGGCCTCTCTTCTAACTCCCCCACCCCACCCCCACCTCCAATAAATAAATAGAAAGCGAAGAGTGTAAGTTCACATCTTTCTTCTGCGCAGTCCACCCCCACCGGAAGCTGCATTTCATGGTCAGAATCTGGCAGAATCATCACTTCCCATAGAACCTGCCCTTCCATAGGCAAAAACTGGGAAGCTGGGGTCTCGGTTTGCCAGTGCTGTGTCTGGGATTGTCCTTGTCCATTTTGTACCTGGGGTCAGAGCTGGTGAGATGGAAGCTCTGTCTCACGTCTCCCTGCCCCACCTACCACTCTGAGGAAGGTAAGAGACATTATTAGCCTCTGTCTGCCCAAGGAGCCAGCAGCCCATGTGAGCAGAAAAACTACAAACTTGGGAACACATTCTTCTAGGCTTCTTCAAGGAAGGTTTTTTTTTTCCCTCACAGCTTGTGAGAGCGCAGCATGACAACAAGAAAGCGTCCTTCAGTGCAAGTGCTGCAGAATCTCGCTGTGACGCTGGCCCCTAACTCCTCTGCAGCTTTCCTTACTCCAGAAAGGCACCATTTCATCCTCACGTGCAGCCTGTGAGGGCCAGCATGAGCACAAGATGCCAGGGTACGTACATTACCTCCAGAGCTGGTGTCCTGAGCAGCTGTGAGTATAGCCTGTCATGTGGAGAGATGGCTTTTGAACATAGATAGAATTATTACAGACACATCTCAGGGGGGTCTAGACTACCAATAGGTCCCCTTGGAGAGTTCTTCTCTGGAAAAGTCCAGATGGGCCCAACAAGTCTCATTGTCCCTCATGAATACCTTGCAGGATCTGGATGAGGTTTTCCAGGCCAAAGATATAGCCTGGATCTGGTCCATCGTAGGTGGTGTGTTCATTCCAGGAGCCTTTGTATGTTGTGTGAGCAAAGTCGATCATCCGGACATCAACTTTGATGACGTTGCTGCCATGGGGCGTCTGTGGAGTCTCCTGCCCATCATAGATGATGAGAAGGGAGCTAGAGTAGAACCGGTATGAGCTCTGGCTCCTAATGACCGAGAGGAGGGCCTGGAGCTGGCGCTGGATAGGCTCCAGCAGCTCCGTCCGGAAGCGGGTCCCATCGTGCAGGAACTGGTAAAGCGCTTGCCTGAAACCCTCCACTGAAAGCTTTCTTCCATAGTACTTGTCTTTGCAGAGAAAGTGCTTCTTATCGCTTTGATAAACCTTACATTAAAAAGAAGATAGAAAAAAAAAAAGATAGACAACGTTAAGAATTGCAAACTTAAAAAAAATCACATCTGCTACAGAGGCGTCTCAAGCAAACTTAATACAGAAACACATTTCTAGAGATGCCGAGCAGGAATGGCTGCAGTGACTGGCAAGACAATCTTTCACCAAGCACCAGTATAAATTTTACACTTAAAAATGTTTTCTGTGCAAGCCGTTAATAGAAATCCAAGGTCCAAAGATCCTTCATCCTACAGAGGTGACCCTCTGCCCATGAGGAAAAGGTTTGGATCTCCTTTCTTGTGAATTTCCAATGTCAACCGCCAAATCATGATTTAAGTCCTGGCTTCTGGCCCTCTTCAAACATTAGCAAACCCAAGCCAGAAAGCTTTAGTGGGAATCTGAAATCATAGCCAATGGCCTTGGGAAGCCAAGTAAATTAAAATTTCCCCCAACAAAGTTTATGAAGTCCTTTCTCTGCAGATTCTGAGGAAACTAATGGCTCCAGGGGTGGAGTGGGGTGAATTGTTTGAAGATGGAAAGAGGCTAGATCAGGTGTGCCTGGAGTTTTCAGGCGGTGGGTGATGTTGAGGGGAGACTGGATGTCGAGGGGAGCGGGCTTTGTGGGCTGGTGGCGCCTCTCCTTGGCACCAGCTCTTCCCCAGTCCTCAGTCACGTCTTGGCCACCAGAACGAAGCAGATGGAGGAGAGATGCTGATGGGGGAACAGTGGCAGCCGCCCTCATTTCATTCAGATGGCAGAGGCAGGCAGAGGCTGAACGGAGGCCAGTGGCTGGCACGGCCAGAGGGGGGACTTGGCACCGCCCCGCCTGTCACACCTGGGAAGGGCCACCTGTACCTGGCCACGACAGTTTCCCAGGTCTTCCCTGCCTTCAGATGACGTGGTATCTTTACAGAAAACACGAGTGGGAAAACAATCAGAAAGATACTATAGACTTGGCGTTGCCTTTGGAGAGCTGAAGATCAGCTGCTAAATTGGCCCGTCCTAAACACAGGATAGGCCTCAATTTCCAAATAAATCAGACCAATTTCAGAAGGTTTGGGGTCCAGAGAGAAATTCCATTTACACCATAATGCATCACACTCCATCCTCTCTGAGAACTACATTCCAAGCTTTCCTAGGGACATCTGTGCCTCAAATTTATAGACTCGACTTCCAGTTTCAAGGGGTGGCAGTTTCAATTAAGGAAAGCGATAGTGTTTACCATCAAATCCGTGTCTGGTTTTGCTTTGAGTAGATAGATTCTAAGAGGGAACCGGTAGAGAAAGTTTATTTCCTCCTGTTCTCCTGCAGCCCCAGCCATAAGCCACATCAGAGCAGCAAAAATGAAGCGTGGAGCCTGGACAATAAGAAGTTAGCCATTCCTTTGATGGGCTTTGCAGCTTATGAGCTTATCACTTTGTTAGCCAGAACAGGTAGTAAGAAGCAGCAGAAAAGGCAGAGTAAGAAGAGAGAATGGCTAATATGGATTCGAAAAGCTGACTGCCTCCCAGCATCTGAGAAGGAGAGGGTTCAGCTTCATCATTCAAGAGAATGAGGACCCCATGGAGCACACAGGGAAGTTTTCCCTCAGTTCTCTCCCAGCCCTGCTCACACACTGTCATCAAAGGTCTGCTCTCAACATAGGCAGGACCTACGTGGCCAGGGTGGGAAGTTCCAGCTACCAGAGACCCTGAGATGAATTTAACGCTGGTGGTTTTTTAATTTTTTAATTAAATATTTAAAAAATTAAAAATTTATTTTTTAAATTTTTATTTAAAAATTTATTGATCTACAATGTGTTGATTTCTTCTGTATAGCAAAGTGATTCAGTTATAGATATAGATTCTTTTTCCTATTCTTTTCCATTATGGTTTATCATAGGATGTTGAATATAGTTCCTTGTGCAATACAGTAGGACCTTGTTGTTTATCATTCTATATATAACAGTTTGCATCTGCTAATCCCAAACTCACAATCCTTTCTTTTCCCACGCCTACCCACCTTGGGAATCACAAGTCGATTCTCTGTGTGAGTCCATTTCTGCTTCATAAAAGTTCACTTGTGTCATATTTTAGATTCCACATATAAGTGTTGTTACATAATATTCATCTTTCTCTGTCTGACTTACTTTGCTTAGTATGATAATCTCTAGGTCCACTCATACATCTGCAAATGGCATTATTTCATTCTTTTTTATGGCTCAGTAGTATTGCATCGTATATATGTTCCACATCTTCCTTATCCATTTATCTGTTAATGGACATTTAGGTTGTTTTCATATCTTGGCTACTGTAAATAGTGCTGCTATGAACATAGCGGTGCATGCATCTTTTCAAATTACAGTTTTGTCTGGGTGCATCCCCAGGAGTGGGATTGCTGGATCATATGGCAGCTCTAGTTTTAGTTTTTGAGGAATCTCTGTACCATTTTCCCTCGTGGCTACTCCAATTTACATTCCTCCCCAAACGGTGGGATTTTGACACCACTGTCCTGAAAAGTGCTCTTTAAAAAAACCCAGCATGTCCTGGATCAGGATATGTGTTTCCTTGGGGAAAGAGGTGCCTGGCCACTGCCTCTGTTGCTCCCACAAAGTGAAGGCAACAGTGTCTGGTTGGGGGACACCCTTGCCTCCAGCGGACATCCCGGGATGCCCAGTCCTGCGGTTGTCCCGCCCCCACCTACCTGCATGCCGCAGATGCGCATGCCCAGATGGGCCGAGGTGCTCTGCGCACACTTCCGCATGTGGCGGGCCTTCTTCTCCTCTGAAGCGTCGTCCCCATGCTGCCGGGTCCCCATCTTCAGGTCTAAGATGCAGGGATGCTTGTACTGTGACACTACGTTTTCCAGCAACAGGAACCCTGGTCGCGAGGCATTAAGGAAGGCTTCCTGGGACACAAAGGCCACGTCCCCGCAGGAGGTGGTCAGGGGCCTCTGAAGCCGACTGGAGACTCCCCCCCGCTGAACCCCAGCCCTTCATCCCCATTTCTTTAACTACAGACCAGCCTGTTGTTGCTATGAAGAATTCAAGGCGTTGACTTTGCAGGCTGCTCTCATAAGTCCATTTTTAAGAGAGGGTTTATTAGGATGTGAGCTTCTTTTCCTTTCCCTTTTTGCTCTGAGGTTGAAATTTAAATGCAGGCATGAAATCCCCAGCAGGCCATGCCCAATTTACATTTTATGGCAGAAAATCAGAAGGCTAAAACCTCGAGTTACTGAATGGGCCAGTACATTTTGGGAGAAGTGATGAGAGAGATGAGTTGCAGGAATATTAATTTCAGCCGAATAATTATCCTGCAAAAAGCTTCTTAGGGATGCAGATTGCAGACGTCTTAGTAAGTACCGCAAAACCAGCCACCAGTTCGTGGGAAGGAGCCCAGTGGTGACAAAGGGGGCCTTCCAAGCCTGAATACGCTCCCTGAGTTTGTGGCAGGCCGAGGGGGACAGGGGAGTAGAGCACCTCTCCTAAGGGGCTACCCCGCAGGTCCCTCCCTAAGAGAGGGGCCGTGCTACATTCTCACCCATCGGCTCCGTGATGGCTGTGGGGAGGATTGGAAGCATGAAAAGGAGGTTGAGTTATGGGGACCCACCCACTCACTGAGTCCCCCTGGACCCCCCTCAGTGTAGCAATCATGTTTCCTAACTGCCCACAGAGACCCCAGCCCTGCCCATCCTCACTGCCCAGGTGGCAGAGACATGACCAGTGACCCAACAGAGGCACTCCCTCCCCCCTGCCCCATCTGCCTTCCCCGGCCTCTGACTTCTCTTTGCTTTCCTGGTGGCTCTGCAGGTCAAGAATCTGCCTGCAATGCAGGAGACACAGGAGATGCAGGTTTGATCCCAGGGTCAGGAAGATACCTTGGAGGAGGATATATCTGTGCCTGAAAAATCCCCTGGACAGAGGAGCCTGGTGGGCTACGACCCAAAGGGTCAGGAAGAGCTGGTCACGACTGGGCAACCGCGCACAGCACAGCTCCCCTCCAGGGCCCAGCTTGGGGCCCACTCTCCCTGCCATCCCTGTCTCTCCTCCGACCTGCCTCAACATGTTTGTCTCGGTCACCCCTCCTCGCCCCCTGCCTCCCCCACAGCGCCGTGCATGATGGGCGGGCGAGGATACGGTGCCGCTGGTTCTCCGGGTACTCGGCACACAGGCGATGCAGGTGGGCCTGGTGGCAGCGGAGGCCCCACGGGTTAAAGCTGCCCTTCTCCGTCAGGTTCCCGTTCACGTCTTCCACCAGCGAGGGGACTTGGGCCTTGAGGTGGAGCTCGGACCTCAGGAGCGCCGTGGCCGGGCTGTGGGCGAGGGGTGCGCACGGCGGTCAGGACCCCGGTGGCTGGCAGGGCTCTCTCGGCTGGACCAGGCCGTGGACTGCCCCTGGCTGCCCCCCAGGACCTCAGTGCCCCCCTGCCCTGCTCAGGCCCCAGGCTAGGCCAGGCTGCCGGCCTCGCGGGGTCTCTCTAAAGTCCATAATAACTCATGCAGCATAGAGGGGGCAACCCTGCCTGGGATCAGAAGGCTGGGGGTTAGGCTGTTCCTGTGGCCTCATCGGGGGTGAGAACCACAGACCCACGGTCCACCCTCTCTCCTGCCCTCTACATCTCAGCTCCCCGGGTCTGTAGCAGGGAGATAATACACATCGCTTCCTGATGCCAAGCCAGGAGGCTTAATTAGATCCACTGCGCTCCTTGGGGAAGGGAGGTACTTTCGTTGTATTAGCTTCCTTTTGTTTCCCATAAATGTTTAAAATTCCCCAGGGATGCTTTTCTTCTGAGAAAGGTCACCATCGGAGGTTCTGGAGACCTTTCCGAGGACCTCAGGTGCCCTGAGCTGCCTGCGTCTCCAGGGCCGCACTGGCACTTGGCCGCTAAGGAAGAGGATTTCTAGAGGCATTAGCCACACTTTTCCTTTATGCCAACTGTTCTGGGGCTTCTGCTCTGCACATCTCCCCCCTCCAGATGCACTCCGTGGTCTCAGTGAAATAGATTCTTAATTAAACAAACACACACTGAATGCCTTCTCTGTATAGGACTCGGCACGCACACCCACTTTCGATAGGAAACGCGTTGAAATGCTCCCTCCGGAAGTGGCACCAAAGAAGATGCATTCCTTTCTTTGGTCACATGGGTTCTGCTCGACAGAGCCCTCATCTGAATTGCTCACTTTCTCGGCTCTGGTCCCAGAGGGGAGCCATTGGCCTTGGCACGGGCGTGAACAGTGCTGGTCCCAGTTAGGGACGCGCGGCCTGGCTTCTGGCATCCTGCCACGTGGCCTCACCTCTCCGTGAGCGAGTGTGCCCGCTGGGGGTGCTGCCACTGGGCGAGGGGGAGGGCGCCACCGCCAGGGCTCTGCTGGAGGGTCTGCCATATGGCCACCGCTGCCGACTCCGTGGAGACCGTGAAGGGCCCCCGGTTCTCAGTCAGGGGGGTGGCAACCAGGCTGAGACGGCCGCGGCTGTCCTTCCGGAGGTGCACGGTGATGGTGCCTGCAGAGGGGGAGGGGAGGACACGGTGCGATGTCCTTTCGAACCACAGTTTAATGGCAGTGGTCAACCTGCCCCCTTCCTCAGCTCCTCTCTCTAGAGAGCGCTCCGGGGACTGGCCTAACACAGATCCTGCTCCAGAACGAGCCAGAGCTGTGGGGCCTGCCGGAAATGGCCTTGGGCTGACGCTGGCACGGCCCCTGCTTCGTGGTCTCTCCCTGCCCCTTCATGCTTGAAACAGGGCAGCTGCGTGCATTTATTTCATCCTCGCATTCCTGCACCTCTGAACGCAGCCCACATCACCCAGGCATCCTGTGGCACCCCATTTGGGCCCAGCCTTGGGGCATCTGAGCTGTTCCTCTGCAGAGAGGAGCCCCACCTCTAAGTGGCAGTGAGGGAAGTTGAGGTGGGGGGGCACCTCATTCTGTCTCCTTCATCACCCTTGCCTTCCCCTCCACATAATCGTTATTTGAGCAGCTTCTTCCAGGAAGCCTTCCTCTAACAGCCTCCTGCCGCCCGGGCTGCCCCTTAGCTCAGCCTTCCCACATCCCTGGCTTTCACACTGAGACACGTGATGCACAGCCCATGAGGATTATGGACAGAACATGGTTCTTTGATAGAAAATAGAAGGCATGTGAGATTTTTGCCAACGGTACCTCCTAACCACCAGTGTGTGTTTGTCTTTTTTTGGCCATGTCACAAGGCCTGTGGAACCTCAGCCCCCCAACCAAGGATTGAACCTGCAGTTCTAACTACTGGACTGCCACAGAACTCCCTAACCCCTGGGGTTTATACTCCAAGCGTGACCTCCTCCTCTGGATGCTGGCTATGATATCAAAGGATGTGCGGACCCCCCGGGAACCCGTGCACTAGCCGGGCTTCTCCTCTGGGATGTTGGCCAGGCCAGGTCAGGTCCTAGGCTCTGGCCCCACATTGATGGCTCTGTGATCATCCCCCGTGGACTTCTTGCTCTGATGGCAGGGTCCACGCCTCCCTCCGTGGGGCTTGGCATCCGGTGGGTGCCCAGCCTTGCCAGAGTCCTGGTGAAGATGGAAGGTACACATGGTCCTGGCCCAGGAGACTGCCACACGAGTGGTTTTATGAAAACTGGCTCTCTGTAAAGTCCTTGCTGCCCCCCTTCTCCCTGCAGCTGGTGCTCTGAGGACCCCTCTTGGCTCTCTCACCTACCAACCTGCCCTCCATCTCTCTCCACCCTGATTTGTGCCCGAGGGGCTGACTCTGTCATGTACCCGTGGCTTCCTTGCCTGCCAGTTGGGCCAGTGAGGGTCACCGGTGACAGATGGAGGGAGAGGAGGAGAAAGGTTGCGACCTTCATCCCTCGGGTTCCCTCCCTGCTGCCCCATGGCTCACCCTGTTTCTCTGTGGCCTCCTTCTTGCCAGGTCAGCTCTACCATGCCCTCACTTGACCTTTCAGGCCCAGGGGTGGTTGTAGCTTTCCCGTCCCACTGGTCCCTGGCTGCCTCACCATCCCTAGTTGTTCCTCTTCACCTCTTTTTTGTTGGCCCCGTGGCATGCGGGATCTTATTTCCCCAACCAGGAGCTGAACCTGTGGCCCTTGCTGTGGAAGCACAGTCTTAACAACTGGGCCATCAGGAAAGTCCCCCCAGTTGCTCCCTTCATCCTGTGTGCAGTTCTGCCGATAGATCCTTGAAGAATTCTCTTCATTTAACCCCCTGGCACGTGCCATTCATTTTCTGCTGGGACCCTGACAGGTGGGAGGGTTGCCTGAGATCGCATCCTCCCAGGTGTTTATTACCTCCCCCAGGCACTGGGTCACCTTCCCGGCCTCTAAGTGGTCATTTCTGCTGAGCCAGCCGCCGAGGCGGCTGCTTTCCGTGCGCGTGGTCCTGCCCGCCCTCCTGGGCTGCTCAGCGCAGACACTCCTTTTCAGGGCTGCCCTGTCATTCTGCACGTCGCTCTCCAGGCCCATCTGTGCTACTAGCTCAGCGGTCTCCGTGGGCCAGGCCTGTCATCTTGGGTTCCCAGAGCCCTGATTCTGCGGCCTGACGGTGACCTTCGTTTCCCTCCAGTTCCTTAAAAATTCTGTTCTTCCTTAGCTCATCCCAGGCCCCGGTATCCTGTGGAGCAATTGTGATGCTAACGGTCACAGCGCCCCTGAGTGCGGCACTCTATCCTTCACCTGGATTGCAGCCTGCCTCCCTGGATGGAGCCCACCCTTGCTGTTCTTGCTCGTGAGAGCAGGGGGCTGGTGGCGGCTGGGGACACAGACAGGAGTGATAATGGCTGCTGGGTCTTTTACACCTACTATGTGCCAGCATTATGTGCATTTTGTTTACTGCTAACTTAGTGTCTATCGCTAAGCCTGCAAGGCGTTGACTGTGGTCCCTGAGGCTCAGAGAGATTGAATAACTTGCCTCGGGTTACATGGTTGGTAAGGGGTGACGGCTGTGCCAGCCGTGACTGTGGGAGGAGGAACAGGCTGCCACACGAAGCCCAGGATCTCTCGGGAGAGTGGGGGTTGTCACGCTGTGTTTACCCGAGTGTGGTTGATGAGGACAGTCCCGCTGTGTCCCCAGTCACCTTTGGCTGGTCATTCTGTTCCGCGGGGGCAGACAGAGCGGCCACAGAGCCACCACCTCAGGAGAGGTGATCAGCGTCAAGCCCGGAAGCACCGAGAAGCCCAGGACATGGGGCTTCGTTTCCAGCCTTGACCTTGCTGTGCTGGTCCCAGGAAGGAGGGCTGACCTGGGAACCACACCCCCCGCCAGGCCCCAGAGCCCGCCCTCCAGGTGCCAGGAGAGGGGGAGCCCCTCGACCTCTCTGCTGGTTCTTGGGGAGCCTGGAGCCTCCTGGCTGTTTGGGGAGGCAGGAAGGTGTGCCGGTCATAGACAAGGCCCTTTTGGATCTCACTTAGTTCAAGTTACTGTCCGGCGAGCCCCCGGCCTTTCACATTTGTGAGGCTAAGGTGACGGGCCTGCCAGAAACCAAGTTCCTGGGGAGCCCTGGGCCCAGGGGGCCTCCCTGGAGGGACAAGAAATGTGACCTTCGCCTGCTTCTCCAGACTCCAGCTCTGGCCTGATCTCATCTGGTCTGAGTGTCGAAATAGATGGAGGTGAGCAGAGGTGCAAATGATGCCAAACAAGTAAAATCCAAAAGTCATTTCTATTTGTCGTGTCGTCAGCGCGACCAGCCAGACTCCTGTCCCGCCTTCTCTCTCCGTCTCCCTGCGTGCCTCTACCTGGCTCCCTGTCTCTCTCTTCCTTCCTTCTCTCAGCTCAGCCCAGCCCTTCCCTCTGGAACCTGGGACCATTGCACAGAGTGTCGTCCTAGTTGCTCAGTCATGTCCAACTCTGTGCGACCCCGTGGACTGTAGCCCACCAGGCTCCTCTGTCCAAGGGATTTCCCAGGCAAGAAAACTGGAGTGGGTTGCCATACCCTTCTCCAGGGGATCTTTCCAAACCAGGGATCGAACCCAGGTCCGCTGCACTGCAGGCAGACTCTTTACCATTTGAGCTACCAGGGGAGCCCCATAGCTCATGTGACCTTGCAAACAATCTCGAGTTGCCTGTCCTTGACAAGAGCAGCCACTCAGTGGGATTCAGACTCCCTGAGGTTTGGATCGTTCCTTTGTCAAGAGCCTTGTTGGCCCCAGCCTGGCCTCCAGCTCGCCTTAGCTGTCTCAGACGCCCACAGGCTCCCAATACACTGCTGCCCCTGCCCAGCCAGGTGGGTGGGAGACCCCAGCCCCATCTGCTTGCTCACCAGCCCCCCAAGCACCTCGACTGTGACCACGTCAGCCGGGCAGACGGGAGCGCTCCCTGACACACCCAGAGCATCTCAGCAATTCTGATTTGGCCGAGAAGCTTCCGTGAGTATTCTGTCATGTATTTATTTTTAAGCTCATGAGGACATTAATTCGCCGACGTCTGTAATATGAATCTGGCTCATCCATTAATCAGCTGGACCTAGAAGTGTGTCCTCACTTGCCCGAAGCTGAGGGGAGGAGGGACAGAGTTTTAAGATGCTCTCATGCCTGAGGAGTCCAGGCGCACTTTGGGCCCGGGGAGGCTGCCCTGGGGAACGCAGTGCCTGCCCAGCATCCCAAAGCCATCAGCGTGCAGGCGTGAGATGGAAGAGGGTGGGCTCCGGGGCATGTGGCAGCCGCATCAGCAACGGCCCCTCTTTCTGGGCTGGTCCCATCAGGATGGAAAGGGAGACCCCTGCAGCGGCCTGTGGGCATTCAACTCACTAGCTAAGTGACCCCGGGCAAGTCATTTCCCCTCCCTTATTGGGCTGGATGGCTCCGAGCACTGGCATCTGGGGAGTTGTCTCTGCAGGGATGGTCACTGCATCAGGGCCGGGGTCTGAGAGGCCATACTCAGGAGCCAGACTTGAATCCTGGCTCTGTTCTGCGGGCTGTGTGGCCTGAGGCAAGTTGGGTGACCTCTCTGGGCCTGTTTCTTCCTCCACGAAGTGGGGACAACGGGAGTACCTTTCCTAGAGTGTTGTCACGGTTAAACAAGTCAATCAAAGAAACAACTTCTAGGGTGTTCGGCACTGAGTAAATGCTAAAAGGTTGACCAGTAGTACTTTTCTTGATTTTTTTTTTTTTTTTGGTTGGGGGGCTGCATTGAGCCATCTTTGGGATTTTAGTCCCCAACTAGGGATTGAAACCGTGCCCCATTGCAGTGGAAGTGCGGTGTCTTAACCACTGGACTGCCAGGGAAGCCTTGGCATTACTTTTCTTATCGGGGGAAGGAAGAAACCTGCACAGCCCCAGGCCCTTCAAGGGACCCTTTCCCATGCCCAGACCCGACCTTCTTCCCTCCTGCCCTGGGGATCCGAGGGCACGCAGGCCCCACTTCTGGGCCTTTTTCTAGTGTCTCCTCACATGTGTTTCCTCGGGTGGCGCCTGCACCCTGGCACCCGGTGGCCCGTGGTATGGCAGATGAGGGGATCAGCGTTCCTCATCATCCAAGCCTCGCGTTTGGGCATCAGACCAGCCCGTGGGCTCCGCCTCACCCTCACCCGCAGCCAGGCTATGTGGTCTCCCCTGATGGATGTCCTGGGCTTCCCTGACCCGGCCCCTCTTGACTTGTTTGCAACCATTGTCTCCAAGTGAGGACTCAAATTAACCTACGGAGTTAGTGGGGCTCCGAGGGGGGCGTCGGGGCGGATACCAGGATGGGCCCAAGCTGAGAGGGATGCAAGGCAGAGGATGGGTCTGGACAGCTGACCAGTGCCCGAGGCTCCCCAGAGTGGGGCCGTCCATGCCGACCCGGGAAGATGGGGAGCGGGGAGGGCCTTGGGGTGTGGTTGCTCTTCCACTTCCATGCTCTGCCTGGGGTGGCCCTGGGAGCCGGTCTCTGCTCCAGAGCTGTGTGGGACCAGCAGGGAATGCTGCGGGCAGCGGGGCCCCCCTCCGGAGATCCGGCCGCCCCTGTGCTGGCCTGAGTTCGCTTGTGAAGGGACAGATGTTAACTCCAGAGGGTGCTCTGACAAGGTGGTCAGCGGCCCCGGAAGGCTCCTGGGAAGCTGTACGCCAGCCTCCCTCCCCATCTCTCATGTGTCTCATCTCAGACTCTCGGGAGGTCCTGGCTGCCCACGACGGAAGCAGTGCCCAGGGCTCAAGGCCTTGAGCCCCTCTCAGTGGGTCTGAATCTGGATGCTGAATACAGATTCCTGGGCTGTGACCTAGGGATTCCGATTCACAGGTTAGGAATGGCCTGGGAGCCTGCCTTTACACACACACACACACACACACACATACATCAGTGATTCTGATAAAGCTGTTTGACCCCAGATCATACTTATGAGAAACACCAATGTATTGGGTTGCCCAAAATATTCATTTGGGTTCTTCCATAAGGTGATACGGAAAAACCAGAATGACTTTTTTGGCAAACCAATAGGCAGGTCCCCTTCTTCCCAGTTTTCTCCATCTTTGAAATACAGGTAAGTTTTTAAGTGACTTGTCTGAATGTTATCATCGCTTTCACTACAGATACTTGCACAACGAGGGCAGAAGCTTGAAGTCATAGGTCTAAAATCCTTTACAGGAGGTCTTTTCTCTGAGCATTCCTTACTTTGTGGGGTTGGCGACTGGCAGAGTCATGCCCTGAGCCCTGCAAGCCACTTTTACCAAAGGCTGGGGGTGGACACAACAGCCTGCCCCATGGATGCCAGCGGCCTCCCGGAGTGCCCCCCCGTGGAGGCCGGCAAACAGCAGCCCTGTCCACGCAGCCTTCTCTCCCCAGACCTTGTGCCCAAATCAGGAACACACACTGGGGGAGCAGCCTACACCCTGGCTTTGCCCCTGGATAACAGTGGGGATTCTGGTTTCCCAAACCCACTGTGAACCAGCTCCTCCATAACCTGTCCCAGACCCAAGGCTCCCGCCATCCACTTGGGTCACCCAAGGGAGTGTCCTGTGTTTACCAACCACAATCGCAGGACCCGGGCACGGCGCACCTAAAGCACAGACCAGAATGCCCCATCAAGGTGGGGTGGGGTTGGAGAATCACCTTATCCCGTTCTCAATCCCGCAAAGACTGGTGGCTTGAGCTAATTTACAGGGGATGCCAAATGGCATTACACTCCAGCCCTGGGGGCTGGAAGAGTTCAGAGAACCTGAGGCGGTGAAGGCCAGCGGCTGTGCAGAGGGGCAGGTCTCCATGGCAACCCTACAACACACCACGGCACTTGAGGAGGTGGTGGGGGCGTGCGGAGAGGCTGGGCCCCTTGAGGGGGGCACCGCCTGCAGGGGACCGCTCAGACACTCACCTTTGTACTGCGGGGTGAAGCGCTTCATGGCCAGCGGCAGGGACTCGTAGAACCTCTGTTCCTGGGAGATGAGGGGCTTGCACACCGTGTGTTCATCATACTTCATCACGCTCAGGTGCCCCCCGACCTGGTGCAGGAAGGGCTCCAGCGGCACGCCGGGGGCGTCCACGCTGTCCTGCACCACCATGCTCCAGCGTGGGAGGGCGGGGTGTCTCCCTGCAGTCCACAAGAGGAGGGGGCGTCTAGGGCTGAGGTCGCAGCTTCCGGACAGAAGGTGGGCTGTTAGTAGTCCTCAACTTTCCTTTTCTTGGCCTTTCCTGTGGCTAGAGCACAAGTCTTCCTGGCTGAGGGCTCTCGGCAGTGCGGGTCCCTGGAAAACAGAGGAGAAAGGGAAGGGATGTGAGGGAGACCGTGTGTGGGAGGAGGGCACCTGAAATCCCCAGCCACACCCCCAGGTGTTAGACAAGACCGTTACACAGGCGTTGATTTCTTCTGGAATCGTCTGAAACAAGCAACTGCTAACAGTTTCCACCTCGGGGGAGCAGGGCTGAGAGGGAGACTTTTCACTAAATACTTTTTACAAGTGCCTTGAAAATATTTGAATTTAAATATTAAAACATTCAAAAAACAAAAACTCCAAAAGACAGTCCCTAAGATTATAAGCTTGCAGAGTGTAGTGAGCATGTCTGAACTGCTCATGTCCCATGGCTGGCCTTCCCCTTTGGAAACTTTGATCCCAGCCCCAATGAGAAGAAAGTCCCTGCTGGTGGGGACTCACTATCCTGCAGGGGCTGGAGGGGTGCAGGAATGCTTCATTTTGATATAGCATATACATAAGCTGGGCACCATCTGGGCCCCACAACATCATTGCTGTGTGACCTGGGGAAGTTACTAAACCTCTCTGGGCCTCAGTTTCTTCATCTATAGAATAAGGTAACAATTATGCCCACCTCATGGAGTTAGGGGCAGAATTGAGATATAAAGGCTATGAAAATGTTAGCCCAGTACCTGGAGCTAGGTGCTCAATAAATGTGATCTATCATGATTATTTCTAGCATTATTGCCCAGGGGATCAGATTTTCTTACCAGCCCTGGGAGGGCCAGCTTTATCATGGATGCTTGCAAATGAGAAAAGCGAAGCCTGTGATGGCTTGCTGAGCCCACCTCAGGCCAGGAAGAGGCAGAAGTTAGGCAGGGGCTCCTGATTGGGTCCCCTACTGTCTGCTTACCCTTCACCCTCTATGAGGTCCGGCCTGCCAGACCTCAGGCAAATGCTGGAAACCCTGGCTGGAAACTTGGCCCCTAAAGACATCCTGACTTTGGGACTTTGCTGGTGATCCAGCAATTAGGACTCTGAGCTCGCAGTGCAGGGGACCCCAGGTTCGACCCCTGGTCAGGGAACTAGATCCCACATGCTGCAACAGAGTTCACACACTGCAACTGAAGACCCCACATGCTGCAACTAAGAGACCCAGGGCAGCCAAATAAATATATTTTAAAAATATAAAGATATCCTGACTTTGTCTCAGCAGAGAGCCAAGGAGACACTGCCAGGGGAGGCTCTTGTGGCTGCATTTGTCATGTTCGAGAGGACAGTCCCGCAGTGGTGCCGTCACCATGGAGTTATTAATACTCTTCTCTGCTGGACTCCTGGCCGAGGATGCAAGCAGGCTGGGCAGTGCTGGGCATGAGCAACTCTCTAACTGACCTTCAGTCCAGACCATGGGCACGGCTGGCTGCCTCCATGCGCAGCAGTACCTGTCACTTTGTTCAAGCCCCCAGTTCAGAGAAGGCCCACCATCCACTTGGACCTCCAGCGCTGGGAGGCATTGAAAGCCTCAGCCTGGCCTGTTCACGCCCCTCCACGACGATGTTCCTGAATTGGTTACTTCTTGGCAGGCCACAGAGTTCCCCTTGGAAGGGAAAGGGGCTGTCTTCTGCCTGTTCTGTGCAAATTGCTATGCCGGATGCAAGACTAAATCACGACTAGGGAGTCTGGGGGTGCTGGGGCAAGGCCTTGGGGTGGGGAGGACTGGGGCTTGATGGTGAAGGCTTTCCCCAGCCCTGCTCTGAGACCCACACCTTGCCCACCACCACCCGAGGTGAGTCCTCCTTGGGATCTGCACCAAGAGCTGAGAGAAGTTGGGAGGCATGTAAACGTGAGGAGAATCAGGGATGGGTTGATACTTTCGGTCTGGTTATCAGGTAAGACATCACAGTTGCTTGGCGAACCTAATCCTCCCTGCAAACTCGGCTGAAGCAGGAAGGAGGAAGGAAGAGAAAAACCAAGGCAGCCCAGTGCCTCTTCTCTCACTGGGCTCACTTGGGCGCCAGCCTTTGCCAGCTGACCTGTCCCCAGGTCAGGGAGGCAGAGGCACTGCTGGGAGGCACAGGGACAGCCCGCTCGTGAAGTTCATTTATATCCTTGGCTGGGAGCCGAGGCCCCGGCCTGCACAGTCTCCCCGGGGCCCATCGCTGGCCAGGAGCGCACTCACCTCTGCGAGCCCAGCTCTGCCGGGGGAACCCAGGTGGCGTCCCCAGCAGGCCCTTGTGCAGCCACCCAGGGCGGCCCCTCACCCTTCTCTCCCCTCACCCCCTGTCTCCTGAGGAGCCCTAAGGACACAGATGTTACCTTGCAGTGTGGCATGGGAGGAGATGATAAGGATAAATGGTGACAATAATGGTAACAGTAAATGGTAACACACGCAACACAGGCAATGTTCCAGGTGTTTTAGGTACCTTCACCCATGTGAGCCTCACAAATGCCTGATGAGGGAATTAGTAGCATCAGCCTTTCATAGGTGAGGAAAATGAGGCCTGGAGAGGTTCAGTAACTTGCCTGTGTGCACCCAGCTACTAGGGGGAGACCAGGGATTTGAACCCAGGTACACCAGCCCAGAGCACGCTCACCCGCTGTCCTGCGGAGATGCCGGGGGCTGCTGTTTCTCTACATCGAGAGTCACGAAATTGAGTCCTAAGGGGGCCAAAGTCACTCACAAGTCACTGGCTGTGATGACACAGGCCCTTGGGTTTTCTTGTCCCCAGGCCTGGTCTCTCCTACCCCGACACCCTCTGGCCAGCCCTCCCCCCAGCTGCTACAGTGAATGCGTGTCCCAGGGGTGGCTGGGGTCCACACGTCTGCAGAAACCAGCATGAGGGGTCAGCTGAGGCCCCCTGGAGCTGGGCCTTGGTACTGGCCTGCGTGGGGCTTTCCCGCTGAGGGGGCGTCAGCTGGGTCTGAGAGGCACTGTGTTCCCAGAGCCTCCATCCCCTCACTGCCACCCCCACGGTCAGACGTTCTCAGGGGCCCTGGCTGAACCATCTCAGGGAGCCCGGATCAGCCAGAAGTCCCTCCAAGATGGTCCACACACAGCAACGGAAACCCTCCTGCCCCCAGGCTTGGCGGCAGTTTTTTAAAAACGCTGGACTTGAAGCTGGGGGAAACTGAGGCCCTTCTGCTTAAGGGTCACCTTAGGGTGGGCTTGGGGGAGGTCTGAGGGTCCTCGGGCTCCTGATGCACAGCAGATTGTGGGAAGGGGGCAGGGAGAACGGAGGAGCATGGGGGGGGACGGAGGGATATTGGGGTTTCTGAGGGGGGCGGGAGGGACGGAGGGGGCGAAGGCCGGAGGGGCGCCGGGGGGACGGAGGGGCGTGGGGAGGATGGACTGGTGTGGGGGGGACGGAGGGGGAGGGACGGAGGGGGGCGGGGGGATGGAGGGGCACGGAGGGGGGGACTGAAGGGTGCAGAGAGGACAGACGGGCGCGGGGGTGGGGAGGACCGAGGGGCAGTGGCTTAGTCCCCCGGGCTCCTGCCTCAGCCGGACAAGTGGGTTTTCTGCCGCTCAGGGAGCCACTCTTTGGCTTCCCCCAGGCGCTGACTCTGACCTTGGATTCCCAAGGTGGCTGAGGTTTCCATCCGTTGCTGTGGGACTGAGCTAGCGAAAGCCTCCATTTCCCCTATCCCTCCTGCCAAGTCCAAGATGAATAATTCAGGCTGACAGAGTTTTCTCAGCCCAGACCTGCCTTTCGCCACCGGCAGACACTTGAGTCAGTGGCCAGAGCCTCGGCCCTGAGCAGTGCCTCTGGGCCCGGGAGCGTGGGGCAGCAGTTCGGTGCCCGGGTCTGCTCCAGGCCCCCCACCAGCTATCTGAGACCCCTGGGGTGAACTGAGCCTTGGTTTACCGCCCACTGCCACGACCTTCGCAGGGCGTGGATGCCAGAGTGCACAGCCCCTTTAGGAGAGCCCGTTTCCCGGGCGTCCTCAGCGCTCGGGCTTTGTCGGCGCGTGGGCGGTGCCCGGGACCGACCTCTGTGACTCGGCCTGGGTGCTGGGAGGGCGGGCGAGGCGCTCGCCCGGGCAGGGCGTCACGGCCCCTCTGACACCCGACGGGCTCCCTTTAGTGCTTTGCGGGGAGACGCAGGGCCCTCTCCCCAGCCCAGGCCTCCTCGCAGACCACAGCCCAGACCTCCGGCCCAGTCAGTGCTGAGTGCTCCCTGGGGAGGGGGCGGCTGAGGGAAGATGGAGGAGGGCGAGCCAGAGGGCGAGGCGCCCCCGCCCTGGGAACAGCGGACAGACGGCCTCAGATCCCTGTGTCCTCCTGCCCCGTCGCTGGGTCACATCCTGAATGAAATGACTCCAGGACTCACTCCAGGAGGACTCAAGGGGTTAACTTCTCTAGTGGGGCCCGGCCATGGAGCTGGGTGTCAAACGAGGCCCCGGACCAGCTGTGGCGCTAAGAGGCCTGAGTGGCGGCCAGCCCGCGCTGGGCGGCTAGACGCTTCCTGGTCTGGAAGGAGGGTCACGGACAGCGTTTGGCTCCCAGGGTGGGGACAGAGGACAGCAGCGGTGAAGCCAGGCACAGAGACAGAGGCCACCCATCGAGCTGAGGTGGGGGAGGGCGTGGTGGCTCAGGGCTCGTCACCACAGGTCAGCACAGGTCAGTTCCTCTTCCTGGGAGCCTTGGTGGGTATCTGAGTTTCCCCACAGCCTTCCCAGGTGGCGCTAGTGGTAAGGAACCCGCCTGCCAAGGCAAGAGACATAAGAGACACCCCTGAGTCGGAAAGAACCCCTGGAGGAGGAAGTGGCAACCCACTCCAGGATTCTTGCCTGGCGAATCCCATGGACAGGGGAGCCTGGCGGGCTGCAGTCCACGGGGTCACAAAGAGTCAGACACGACTGAAATGACTTAGCGCACACGCACACAACCTCTCCCCACAGGCTAAACTGGACTTCATTAGAAATTACAGAAGGCACACCTCGTTGAGAACTTGTCTCTCCCTTTTTAGGGAAGATGGCAGGTGAAACCACAAACTAAACTTGTAAGGGTTCAACTTGGACTAAATAAGTCACAAACTCTGTCTTTTCAGAGGCTGTCAGCTCCTTGTATCTGGAAACTAGTTGGTTGACTGTGATTATTGTCAAACTGTTTACACATATCCTGTTTTTTCTTTTTTTTCCCCTGCGGGAACATGGTATGACTGCACTTCCCTTGTCCTCTGAAGGTACGTCGGCTAAAGCATGATGTGGATGGGAGTGACGGATGCCACTTCCGGGAGGAGCACTTAGAGTAAGCAGTGCCCCGCATACTTTTTGCCTGGCCAGGGTGATTTGGGAAGCAGAGTCACTTCCTGAGTGCCTGTTCATGACAGAGAAAGCAATCCGGGTTATATTAGGCACTGAGGTTTTTTGGGGGTGTTTTTGCCACACAGCACAACCTAGTCCATCCTGACTAATTCACCAACTCACAGCCAGATACCCAGTGGGGAGCAACCTCAGGCTTGAATACATCCTCTGTGTTGTAGCCACTCCTGTGAAGCATCCACGGCAGACCAGTGGCCTTACAATGTCCCCCTCTGTTTCTCAGAATAATTTTCAGATGGAGACAAGTGGAAGAGCTTTCCCAGGGTCCAGAGAGTGAGCACTGGTGCTGGAATTCAGCCACAGTGAATCTGTCTGCTTCCAAAGCTTCTGCCCCACCGTGTGGTCTCCCTTCTAAGGGAGGGGGACCACGCTGGCTTCCTCTGAGAGTCCTGAGACCTGGGTGGGGCCCAGGCTCCCGTCCGAGACCATCTCTGTGCTGTGAGCCTCAGCTGCCCACATCCGCAGTGGGAGCCTGCTGGGAGCTCGCACTTGGCAGGGTGGTGGGGGTGCCATCCCCTGGGGCAGGGTTCCACTAGGAGCTGGGCAGTGTGGATTCACAGTGCCACGGGTGGAGGACTCCCATCCGTGGGCCACTCAAGCCCTGACCCAAAGCCACACCATCAGCACCAGCAGCATTATCTGCAGACTAGAAAAGCAATATCCACAGCTTGCGATCATTTCTCAAATGTATCTAAATGCTTCAGTGTTTACCAAAATACAAATTCATTTAAAGGCATTATTAAGTTCCTAGTAGTTTTTATCATTGTCTATTTTCTCAATCAACAGATACTGAAAGTCTAATGAATATCGCAGAGGGACTCCTAGGGAACAAATTAGGTTGAAAAATGAGTCCTAGTTAGAAAGGTTAGAAGAGTTACTGCTGAGGGACCCGGGCAGGGGTATGAGACCAGGGAGATGGAGTCTGGGCCTGGGGGAGCTTGAGGAAGGCCTGTTTCAGGGCGCGTGTGTGCAGGGAGCAGCAAGGAGGGGAAGGACAGGCAGGGAGATGGGAACAGAGGGAGGGCTGAGCAGGGAGGCAGAGGTGGGTGCTGCTGGGGTCTGAGCAGAGGAGGTCTGACCCCCCCCATCAGTCTAGGCAGGAGGGGGTTGCCTGAGAGCGCCAAGGTATGAATGCTTTCAGGACTGCGTCTCAGTAGATCCAAGGGGGAGATGTGTGTTCTGGGGAGAAGATAATTAAGAAACAGCTTGCAGCAAAAGTAGACTGCAAAATAAAACGTGTCGGCCAGCAGACTCAGAAGCAGCATGGTTTATGGCCTGCCCTCTCTCCTCTGAAGCTCTAAGGTACATTTCGCAGGCCCCTCAGAGCCAGAGGTTTGGTACAAGTACCACTCAATGTCTCTGTGATGCCCAAGGGAGCATTTTTTAATCTATTAGAGATGAGAGGACCCGAAAACCATTTAAAACCACTTAGGTTGGAATGGGCAAAAGAAGTTTGGAGTTGCTCACATGGCAGAGGGCTGTGTATCATCTGGGGCCATCCAGGCTTGGAAGGCACAAGATTATTTTCTGGGGAGAAAAAGAAATCAAGTTTTTAAATCCATCCTAGAAACGACTCAAGGGCTGTGGGATGGCAAGCCCCATGGTCTGCACGGTCCTAGTCCGGTGGGATCAATACCGAATGCTGGGGACGTCACACATCACCTTCTCAGTTGTGGCTGAAAGATGTGGCTTTGGAGAGCATCTATTTCCCGGGGAAGGCTTGATTTTCAGAGTAGCAGAGCAATACTTCATTTTCCTGACTTATTTCTGAGCCGATGTTATCCTTTGAGGGAAGATATTCTTCCCCATCTCCTTTTCTCTTAACATTTAAAATCTCCCAACGTTCCTCCAGCTTGAGGACCTAATGCGATTTTAATACAGCTATTATTAGTTTAGAAGCCCTTCAGCCTCTGACAAATGTCCGTAGCAGCAGCGACAATGTTCTGAGCTTGCTGTCAGGGCGGGAGACACATGGGGCAAAGATGACTCAAGAGCCCAGCGCTCCTGGAAGGGCTGCTGGGGCCAGCGGGGGTGGGGAGGGGTGGGGTGGGGAGGGGCGGGAGGGCTTCTGTCTTCCCAGCCGCAGTGGAGCCGGACCTCATGACAGTACCTCGGGACCTCGGCCCCTCCATCCCCCCGGGCACGCTGGGCACCTTGCCTACAGCCCCTCCCAGGCAGGCTTGTCTCCTGGGGACCGCTCCCCCTGGAAGCTTGGATATTGGAGAAGCTTGGAGGGACCTTGGACCCTCCTCCCAGGGTCTTGGATATTACTAGACATCCAGACCACATTTTCCAGTCTCTGACACCCTTCCCCACACCTTCCTCTAAGTCACATGACCAGCCACCTGCTTTACGAACCAGAGATAGACGGTCTTGTCGGTGGTTTCTATGGAATCTTTAGGACTCTAACAAGAGATACATTTTTTAAGGTCAAAACACAACAGTGGGGGTGGAACAAGCCTACGGTGTGTGCAGTGTGTGGTCACTCTCCTTCAGGCTGTGGAGCTGAGCTGGGCGAGTGTGAAGGGTGAGGCTTTGCCCAGCAGAGGGCAGCAGCAGACGGGCCAGAACCGCTCGGAGAGGAGGCACTCGGACCAGCAAGCTCCTTGGCCCAGCGACTAGGGGCCCTTCTCCAGCGGCTCAGAGCTGGGACAGTGGCTGAAGGGCTGGTGAGGCGCACTGCTGAGGAACGGGGCGCCCAGCTCAATTCACAGGGGAAGGACCTCAAAACCAGAAATGGGGGCCAGCTGAGGAGGTGGGGTGGGGACGCTGGAGGGCTGAGCAGAGTGGAAGCGTCTTTTTGCTGATGAAAAAGACAGCAACCACATGGGGAGGACGTCTTAGGCGCTGTGCTTGGAGCTGGAGGATGCAGGAGCAGGCTGTCAACCACAGCAGGTGTGGGGGGGCTCAGCCTGGCCTGCCGCCCCCAGGAGGTCTTGGGGCAGAGCACTGGGAGGACCCCCAGGGGCTGCAGCCCCTTTGCAGAAGAGGGGTTTCTCAGATCCCCGATAAGAAGCTGACTTTGTGGGGGCACGAGGGGGCGAAGGTGCCTGGACATGGTGCAGTGGGGCCCAGAGCCCTGGGTCTGCCTAGACTGCCCGCCCCTTCCCCTCCGGGCCTCAGTCTCCCTCAATGGACTGAGCTGCTGAGCCAGCCCTGTTCTCACCCTCCGGTGGGGCAGCCGGCGTTCAGTTCAGCTGGTCACTTTGCGGGGGGTGGGGGGGGAGGGTGTGGAACGGGGGCAGGGAGGGTGGGGGCTGGCTGAGATGTTACCAGACTGAAAGCGGGGTCCTCCCCCTGCCCCCAGCCCCACTGGATCCTCGTCTAAACAAAGCATTGAACACTATTTAGGAACAACTGGGAAAACTGGAATGCGGCCTGGATGCAACCGTCCATGGGGAGCCAATAATATCGTCAGTGGGATAAAGCGCTGGGGTTACATAAGGACCTGAACTGAGGTGCTTTGACGGGAAATGCTGTGACGTCCACAGATGACTTCAAAACACCTGAGCCTTAGTGAATACAATGAAGCAAATGTGGCAAAATCCAGACAAATGGTAAATCCAGCCGCAGAACACGCAAATGTTCATCGTGTCATTCCTTCTATTTTTTTCTTGTAGGCTTAAAGTTTTTCATAGTAAAAAGGCTAAAAAATAAGCCAGTAGCTCTTAAAAACCGTAGAAGCCTGACTCTTGCCTGGTGGGATCCAAATCTCCTGGGAGGGGCCCGCCCTGGATATTTTCAAGGGCCCCAGAGAGCCTGAGGACCAAGGCAGGCTCAGGTTCAAGTCTTAAGTTCCCTGGGGGTGGCCCCAGGAGAGCCCAGGGGGAAGGGGCCCCTAAAGACTGCCCCTGCCTTGGGCGGGGGGGCCCTGGCAGTGACATACCTCTGTGGCCGTGTCCACCCCCGAGCCCGCTCCGCAGAGGCCCGCGCCACGGCCCTGGCCCCGGCCCCAAAGGTGCTGATGTCATCCGGTCCCAGGGCCCCTCCGAGCTACTGGGACAATACGTGCCGTTCGTTCCCGGGGCCCTTGCTGCCCAAAGCTCCTGGGACAGCTGCCCAGCATGAAGGGTTAAATGCAGCGAGGGCTGGGAGACTGGCTCCAGCCCCTGAGCCTGCCCTCACAGCGTCCCTGAAGCCCCGCCCTGCCACCTTCACGCAGGAGCCCAGATTCCAGAACAACATGGGGGAGAGGGTGACTCCTGGGGGAGGGGAGGGCAAGCGGAGAGGAGCCAGTGACAGGATTTCTGTGCTGCTGAGCTGTGCCAACAGCCCCCAGGCCCCCAACACGGACGCACACGGACACACTGGTGGCCCCTCGGGGTCAGTGGGGCTGACCTCTAGTCGGGGGGTCCACCCCTGAGTCCCACGGTGTGAACAGGGCTCTCTTCCGGCCCTGGCACCATCGGGGCCCTCCCTGCCCACGCTTATTCCCCATGGCAGCACTCACTGTAGCCGCACTCCGGGCGGGAGAGAGGGGTCCAGCAGAGAGCGGTCTTCCCGGTCAGTGACCACCAACCGTCGCGCTGGGCAAAGGCCCTTCCCAGTGCCCCAGTAAGGAGAAGCCAGCGTCCACGGCAGCACTGGTGGAGAGGTCTGCCCAGACGCAGGTCTGCCCACGGGGCTGGACTGCAGAGGCCTGGGGCGGGGGGTCACCTGACCCTCGGGGAGGGCCAGCGGGCGCTGGCTGGCGTGGGCAGCTGTCAGCTGGTGTCGGGCTGCTCTGGGGCAGGGCCAGAGGGCCTGGGAGGGAGGGGAGGAAGGGGAGGAGGGGTCCGGAGGGATGTCAGGCCCTGGGCACCGAGGGCCAAGTGCCTCAGGCCCCTGGTTAGCTTTCGGTTCCCTGTTTACAGGGTCAGGCTGGCGTGGGGGTCGTGTTCTCCCTTCCCCTAGTCTCCCCGCCTCCACCCCACTCCCGACAGCATCACTGCCAGTTTGCCCCGAGCAGTGGCTGCCAGAGAGAAGGACAGTCTTGGGCAAGACATTCAATCCACAGTCAGCTTGGGGACAAGCAGTGCTTCAGGTGTTTTCGAGGCCCTCGTGGGTCCTGGGTACTCCGCTAGGCTGAGCCAGGAAACCGCCAGGACAGGGCCTGTTGTCAGGGGATTAGTCAGGGGTTCGGTGAGTCACAGGGCAGTTCCAGGGTGGGTGTTTGGGGAGAGGACAGGGGCGTGGTGTGTGTGTGTGTTGGGGGGGGGGTGCGTGCGTGCCATCACCAGGCTGGGGGAAACAGGGAAGGTATCCTGGAGGAGGCGACCTGGAGGAGGAGGAGGGTCATCAGGTTTGGTGTGGGAGAGCGTGGCAAGGGGAGTGCTCAGAGGGGCGGGCGTGGGGGTGGGGAGGGATGCCCTACGGTCCTCTGTCCTCAGCGTCTCCGGAGGCTCCCCAGGGCGTCCTGTGGAGAGAGCCGGGCGCCGCTGTGTGTGCAGAGGTCTCGCTCTGGCCTGCTCTGGGGGGGCCTGGGTCGCGGGCAGACAGGCGGGTGCTGAGCCGCAGCTGCTGTCCTCCAAATGTGTCCTGGCCTGGCAGGGAGAGCAGGCGCGGGGTGGAGGCAGCAGGCCGGTTCCTTAGATGTTGAGGAGGCAGGCTGGACAAGGTCTGCGTGGGGGGTGAGCAAAGGACAGAGACTCAGCAAGGGGCAGACTGCAGGTCTGAGTGACGCTGGACCAGGTATCAGGCAGGCCTGAAGTCCGCCCTTCAGGTGCCTGCAGCTAGCCTGCACTCCTGGCCGTGGTGCCTCTGGGTGCCAAGCGGTCCACTGCCCTGAACCAGCCCGTCCCTTCTTGGTGTGTGAGCGCTTGGTCCACTGAGCTCTGCCCAGTCCCCTCTGCCAGCTTCCCTCTTGGCGGGTCCTGCCTCTCTCTCACTCTGGGCCATGTCCCCCGTGTCCTGGTTCCCAGGGCCCCCTCCCTGCCTCCTGGTCTGTCAAGCCTCCCCCCCGCCCCCGCCCCACTGCCCCTGGCAGAGCTCTCGCTGCAGCACCAGATGCCTGGCTTTCCCCCACACCCCTCCTGCGTTTCCCTGTGTCCATGGTGCCCCTCTCCCAGAGTGTCTCCCTCACTGCTCGCTCAGAGCAGGGGAGCCGGGGGATGAGGCAGGGGTGGAACCCGGGTCTCCTGATCTTCCTCCCCAAGGCTTCCTCGGTCCCTGTCCACTCAGGGCCTGCTGCAGCCACTCTGGGGCCTGGCACAGAATGTGCTGCTGGACAGATGTGTTACTGGCGGAAAGAGGAGGCTGGGGACCCCTGCCCACCAGCCCAGCCCAGCCCAGCTGCCCTTCCTGCCAATGAACTCTTTTCCAGGTCCCCGCCGCGGGTCCTCCCCTTCCCCAGACAGGGCTTCCTGGGGTGCCCTGAGGCCTGGTTTAAAGTGGAGTGAGGATCCCAGGCACCCCCGTCCTTTGCTCCCCAGCCCCAGCTGGCGAATTGCATTTCAGCAGGGAAAGCAGGTCCAGCTAAAAGGCTGGGTCTGGTTACCTGGCCATGACCTTCCTTCCCAACCACCCTCCCTCATCCCCCTGTCCTTCTTGGCTGGGCTCAGATCCCTGTTTGGGAACCTCACAACCAACACAGGCTGAGCAGTGGGGCCCCTAGAGGGGAGGGCCCACCATGGCCCTGAGGGGCCGATTCCGGGGGAACCCAGGGCCTCGGGAGGGTCAGTTCACCTTCCAATGGTTTCTGTCTTTGCTTTGTTGTTGCAAAGAGCAAGATGCCACACTGACTTCTCATTCACTCATGAATTGAACAACGTTTTTGAGCACCTAGGATGTGACCTGAGACACAGCAGTAAGCGAAAGCACCCGTGATGTGGTCCTTTCTGTTACGCAATCAGAGGCCGCTCTATTTCAGTTTCCTGGGTGCAGCCAAGTTCTCTCCGTGGTCACTTTCCCGAAGCTTGGCCTCGCCTGCAAGATGCCTGCTCCCCGCCTCTTTCCCCAGCCACGTCCGGGACCCTATAACACTGGGCCTGGTTGCTGTCTCTCCTCCAGGAAATCGGCCCTGACCAGCACCCAGGCTCTTCTCTGCACCCAACATTCCAGACTAGCTCTCAGCGGCCACCGTGTGGAGGCAGAGAGTGCCCGGATTCATAAGCACGCTCTGGGCTTCCTGGTGGCTCAGATGGTAAAAAGTCTCCCTGTAGTGCAGGAGATCCGGATTCGATCCCTGGGTCGTGAAGGTCCCCCGGAGAAGGGAAATACTCCGGTATTCTCGCCTGGAGAATCCCATGGACAGAGGAGCCTGGCAGGCTACAGTCCCTGGGATGGCAAAGAGTCAGACACAACTGAACGACTAACACTACTGCCATAGGCCCACTCCAACTGTCTGGGGCCCACCCTCAAGTCAAATGGGTGGGCTGGTCCCACCCTGGCTTGCTCCCCCTTCACCCATCTGTCCACAGCCTCCCCTGACCTTTTCAGGACTCCCCTCCCCTGTCTTTTCCCTGCTGCCTGGCCCAGCAGTTCATCCAGCTCCACATCTTGTGGATTTCAAGTCCCAGGCTGGTCCCCTCTGCTTCATCTCCACGGCCAACACCCTGCTGCTTCCCGCATGATGGTTCTATAGCTCCTCGTGCTGTCCTCCCTCCAGTCATTCTCCCCATACTGACAATTTAGAACAGTTTGGGTCACGTCACTTACCTGCTTAATACTCTTCCGTGACTCCTGGTCCTAAGAACAAAGTCCAAGTGTCTCCCTGGGGCCCAGCTCCCCGGCCCCAGTTCAACTCTGTGGTCCAGCCACACCTTGCATGGGGCCTTGGCACCAGCTGTTCCTTCAGCCTGGGATGCCCTTCCCTCATCTCTCTGCCTAGTTAACTCCTCTTTATCCTTCAGAGATCAGCTTAAACATCACCTCCACCAAGGAGCCCTCCCTGACTTCTCTGACGTGGGCTGCCACTCAGTTCCTTTCGTACCTGCGTGATTATTTGCTCCTGCATGTTCTCCTTCCTCGAGGACGGTGCCCTGGCTCATTTTGTTTGACAGTATGTCCCCAGCATGTAGCTCAGTGCGTTCCCCAGTATACATGTTTGATGAATGAGTGAATGGGTGAACTCATTCTGGGTCTCTGAATTCCCCTCCCAGCCTCTTCCTCTCTCAGCTCTGGCTCACAGCTGGGGGTGTGTGGAGTCGTGAGCCTTCAGGGATTCCCTCTCCTTTTCCTGGCCCTGGGCACGGGGTCCTCAGCCTGGTCATTGTGACAGCCCTCCTTAGCAGCTCCCCTTCTGACCCAGTTTTCTTGCTCTGGAGACAACGGCCCTCAGTGTTCCAGGACGTGTCATCACCCCTCCCATGGGGTAAACATCACAGTGCCACGGATCCTGCCAACCTGCCCACTTTCCAGAAAAATCCCCTCCACCCCTCCGTCACGGGCCCCAGCTGGGTATCCCACCCTCTGCTTCCTTCCCTTCCCCGTCCCTGGTGGTGTGGGGTCCTCCAGGACAAGTGTGCAGGCCGCGTCCTCCAACACTCCCCCTCTGTGTGAGGAGCCCCATTTTACAGGTAGGAACATCGAGGCCCAGAGAGGAAGCACCTTGGTCCTGTGAGCTCCTCCACAGTCTCTCTGTCTCCCTCTTTCTTTTTCTGTCAGTTAGGGCCTGGGCTGTCTTAGCTTTAGATTCACTCCCTCGTTTTTTTTTTTTTTCTTCACTGTGCCGTGGGCTTGTAGGATCTTAGTTCCCCGACCAGGGATTGAACCTGGGCCCTGCAGTGAAAGGGTGGCGTCCTAGTTCCTGGACCATGAGGGAATTCCCAGTCTTAGCTTTTTCTGTCTCAGGTTTTTCTTTTTTCCCTCACATTCCCTCGTTCCCTTTTCTGTTTCTGCTGATACTTCTTGTTCTCATTCTGCTGTGTTCAGGCCGTATGTGGGTTTACATGTGTGTGTGTGTGCGCGTGTATCTGTGTGTATGTGTGAGTACAAGTGTGTGAATGTGCACGTTGACGGGAGCAGGTGTGATCCAGGTGTGGGTGTGTGAGCAAGTTGAGTGGGGGCAGTCTGGGCTCAATAGGAACATCCTGATTAGTGGGCCTTTGGGATCAGGTTCTCTGCGGAGGCAGGGGAATGGATTTTGCCTGGAGACTTGGACCCCAAGGGACCCCACATAGGCCCCGGGAGCCCCAGAGGGCACCACAGAGGAAGGCCCCTGGCACAGCGGCCCTTTGAGGCTGGTGTGTGGCTCTCGCTTGCCTGCTCCCCCCAGGTCTCCCAGACTCTCCCCGAGCTGCCCAAGCCCTCTGCTATTTGGCCGTCTTGGCCATCAGCTGCCACCCTCTCCCTAGAAAGCCAAGGATGGACCGTGTGCCGAAAGATGGCGCTGGTCACTGGCAGCTTCTCACGGTCTTGGGAAGCTGGGCAGCTGGCAACTGCCCCCGAATTGGGTCTGCACTAGCCTGACCGCCTCACCTCCCACCCTGACCCCACCTGGGAGGGAACTTGTAGCCTGGATCCCATCCCAGACTTGGCATCACAGGCGGCCTGCGCTTCGCTGGGATCCCAAACGGCTGACAAGCTATGACCTCCGGGGCTGCCGGGGCCATGACTGACCTTCCTCAGCCTCCACACACACCCCCACCCAGGGAACCTGAAACTTTGAGGAGACTGCATTCAGCAGGGCAGGGGCCAAACCTTCTGTCAGCCGGCCGGGCTCCGCTGACAAGGATGCTGCAGGGATGTCGCCCACATCAGGGTGACAGGAACTGCAGGGGGAGGCGAGAGCTCGGGGTCAGGGGCGGGGGAGATGGTAGGGAGCC